CTAAAAATAGTTATTCAATAATAATAATAAAAAAAATTATGAAAGTAACCCCTGTTCTATAAGTTCAAAGCAAATGGCAACAGTGCTTCAAAGCTGCAGATAAAAATCGTACGCAATTGTGTTTTACCGGAATTTTCGTGTTATAAAACTGTATAATGATAGTATAATGATAAGTATAATATTATAATATAATATAAGTATAATGATTATTTTAAATTAATTTAGGAGGAAATTATGCTTATAAGTGGTACTCATCACTCATTATGCTTATTGAAGAAGGTGAAGTATTAAAAGTGTTCGCTACCCCAAACATTTGCTGTTAGTTACGCCACTGTTCGACGGTATAGATGCGCTGTGATAAAAACGATATTTGACGCACCTGTCGATCTACGTATTTCTCGCTTTTGTGAGTAAACACATATGTAAGTGGCTTGTGGTCCGTGAAAAGGGTGGTGAAGCGGTCTTCGATTAAGTGGATGAAGTAATGGGTGCTGCTATACGCCGCGAGCTACTCGCGGTCGTAGGTGCTATACCGCGTCTCCGCGTCGGTCAGCTTTCTTTAGAAGAAGCCCAGGGGCTGTCAACCGTCACCGTCTTTTTGTTCAATTACGGCACCAACCGATGTACAGGATGCGTCTGTGCAGAGACTTAATTCGGCGTTTGGTTTAGGGTGCGCTAGGTTTTCCTTGGCGGCGAGGGCCGTTCGGCAAGCGTCGAATGCGACACAGGTGCTATCGTCCCACTGCAAGGTTAGGTTAGGTCCGTATTTTTTCGTGATTGAAGCTGCTAAGTCATACAGCGTAGTTTGTATTTATGCGGCCTTCGGTAGAAATCCGCGGTAGAAATTCACCGAGCCGTTGCAAGCCCTTCTTTGTCGTCGGAAGTGACCACCGGCGGACAGCGTTAACGCGGTCTGGGTTGAGTTGACAAGCATCCTTATTGATAACGTGACCCAGGAGAGGTGGTGGCAAAAATACACTTTGCGGTTAATCGACATACCGTAATCTTGTAGGTGCTTCAAAATAGCGCGGAAGTGATGGATCGTGTTCGAGTTCACCGTGAGACGCGATGAGGACGTCATCAATGTACGCGAAAGCATAATTGAGATCTCTGAGCATCTCGTTGACCACGCGCTGGAATGTTTGTGCCGCGTTCTTCAGGCCAAAGCACATCACGGGAAACTCTAACAACCTAAAAGCCGTGGTAACTGCTGTCTTGGGTATGTCCTGTTCGGCTATTAAAACTTGGTGGTATGCTTTGACTAAGTCCAACTTGGTGAAGATTGTTCGACCTGCCAAGTGTGCCGTAAAATCATGGAGATGTGGTAATGGGTAACGGTCGGGATGGGTTACAGCGTTTAAACGTCGGTAGTCGCCACATGGTCGGCAAGCGCTGTCTTTCTTTGGTACTAGCTGTTGGAGCCGAAGATTAATAGACACCGACAGCAAACACACACACACAAGATATCACAATTTATTTTTATGTTATTATTTCTGTTATTATTTCTACACGTCAGCATAATAAGTAACGAAAAAGCTGACCTAAAAACAAAAGTAACAAAAGGTACCTCCGCTTTCGAAGTATGCCCCCAAATATTATCTGACCAAGACTTGATAAAATCAACCAAATTCTAGTACATGGATGAATAGCAAAACTTCTGGGCTAAATGCAACAATAATAAGCTCAGAGAGATACAAAATTCTATATAATATATTCTATATATTCTACCTAACCTAACCTAACCATGGCACAAACCATTCGAGATGTCCAGAAGGGACGAGGTAATTCTCATCCACCTATGTATAGGCCACACCCACATGACTCACAGATACCTCACGACCAAAGAAGGTCCACCATCATTCTCAACGTGCGGAACAATCATTACAAGTCACAGAATGTCGACAATTCATTGAAAGGCGTATTGAACTGAAACTTCCGGAGACACTATACGAGATGCTAGCACCTACTCCCGAGATGTCCAAAGACTTTAATTTTATCAACACAACAGTACTGCGTCAACTGATTTAAATAAGTAGAACTTAAGGTAAAAATTTACTTATGTTAATATAGATAATAAGTAAAAATTAAGGAACGTATGTAAGCAATTAATGTAAATTCAAAAAAAATGTAACGATGGCTAATAACCTCGTTATTGATGGCGAATACAATTAATAAAAAAAAATACTAAGTATGAATTGACAATATAGAAGAATTTTTAAATATTGTAGGTCATTACTTAATAAAACCAAACTTATTTTAAATTATTAACGATCGATGTTTCTACTAATAATAAGGAAATATAATGTTATGTTTTGACATTTTGACTTTTTAAACTTGACAATTGTAATTTTATAGGCATAAGAAATAATTATCAAATGAAATAAGTATTTAATAAGGAAATAAATAAATAATTATTTAAAAATGTTTTTGTTTTTATAAATAAAAATTTATATTTTTGG